TAGCATCTGCCAGGCCTAGGCTCCAGGACCTTGACCTGGGCTGAGACCCATCCCACCAGTACCTTTTGCCCAGAGGCTAACTTCCTTGCGGCAGCCACTGGGCAAGAGACTACCACTGACCGCATTCCTCTGCGACCTGGAGACATTTCACCCAACTTGATTTCGTCAGGAGAGCACTCACCGGACCGTGCAACTGCAGCACGTACCTCATCTAAGGTCACTGAGTCATCTAGACCCGATAACCGGACATTTACTCTAATGCTCGGTCGGGACACTTTCACATCATCAGATGGGAAAGACGTACGAAGTTTCTCTGCTAGAGCATCGGCCTTAGGACCACTGGAGGCGCCAGGAATTTGCAGCAAGCGAGCACCTGTGACTGTTTCACGACAGCGGATACCCTCTATTCCCAACTCCTCCAGTTTTATGCTGATCTTGGCCTGTGTCAAGATCGAGGCATAAGAGAGCCCTTTTTCCTCTGCTCCAGGCTGCAGGGTAATCATTACTGCCGTGGATCGAGGAGGACGGAGTTTTCGCTTCTTAATTTTATCAGACTGCACCGCAGCTGTTCGCGCCTTTTTGTTTGCCTTTTTAGCTATTTTCTTTGTCCCAACAGTCTCCCAACCACCATCTTTTGGCTGCAAAGTCGATGGGGCTGTTATTTTGGCTTCAGGAGTATTTTGTTTCTTCTTCTTCTTTTTCTTTTTCTTCTTTGTTTTCTTGGCTGCAGGAGCCACCTGAGGGGACGGTGTTGCTTTCGCCGTCACCGTCACCAATTCGTCATCCATAGGAGCTTCCAACTTCGTCACAGCGGTATTCGCTGCATAGGTCAGTGGAGGCGTTGGGGCCCGTGGCACTACTACCCTATCTGCTGCCAATGGTGGGCGTAATAGTCTGCCCTCTATGACAGAGAAGCGAGATGAGAGGCTTGATATCTCCGTCTTAAGAAGCCGAATAACCTTTGACTCCTCAGATGAAGACAAACGTGCTGGAGGTGGAGGTCCAGCCTCGTTTTTTCTCTGGTTGAAGAGCTCTTTACGAAGCTCTCCAAGCTCCTTCAGGAGCTCCGCCATTTGCGCTTCTAAGCGAGTATTTGCAGCCTCGAGGCGAGTGTTCGCAGCCTCAAGGCGTCGGACTTCTTCATTTGAAGTCCGTTGTAAGAGCTCCTGGGCAACCTCAGTTATAGATGCCGCTGCCTCTTTTAGTGCTTTCTGAGATGTCCCCTTTAAACCCTTAGAAAGCTTTGCAACCTCCTTAATAGCGCCGACAGCGTTTTGGATCCGACCGTCTAATTGCCTGGCGTGTAGGTCATCCACCTCTATCACGGAAGATAGAGACGACTCTGATAGTTTCGAGATCCTGCTGGCGCTAACCTTTCGTGTCTTCTCGGCAACAGCCGCCTCTTCCTTTGTTAGCTGTTCCTCTTTTTCGGCAGCTTTTTTGGCTGCTGCCAGTTCCTTCCTCGCCTTTGCCATGCCAACGTATTTGCCTGTCGTCGGCGGCCGACCCCTGCCCCTCTTCGAGGCAGTATTTGACCTAACAGTCGAAGCCGCTAGGTCACCTTCTCCATCACCGCTAGAGCCCGTTTCCGACTCTGAGCGTGACCCACGTCTCGGCCTCTTGAGCCATCTCGAAATATCGGTACGACTCTCATCCATCTCCACTGATTCAATGGAAGCCAAAGTGTCAACGTCTGACACAATGGCAAGCTCCTCCACTCTCTCTTCCTCTACGATATTTTTATTTTTATTATTTGTAAAATCTTCCATGCGGTTCCCACGAGTAGTAAGGAAATAAAAGTCCATCTGAGCAGAGCCTTATACTCAGATAAGCCTACATACAACCGGGTGCGGCAGGTGCCCGGAGGTTGAAGTGCTCGCGGCCTGGTTTTTTCCCCAACCGACCATTCACCCCTCACCACACTTCTGAGCTTAGGTTGTAGGGATAGGGACCGGACAATTAAGCCAAGTCCCGACGACGTCAGCATTAGACATGCCTCCGTCCCGCTATCCAGCCACCCTGGCTTAGCGAGACCCGTCGCATTTGCACCTCCGAAGAAGAACAAATATCCGCCGGACCAGTGCGCCCGCACTGGCTCGACGTTCGGGCCGAACGGTGATCTGTGTCAAACCTGTCCACTAATGCCGTGACATAAGTAGACCCGTCGCCCCTTGAGTAAGTGCCAGATCTAAATGCAGTGTACTTTAGTAAGTACGTGCAATAAATCCGCACGACTCAGTAATTTTTTATAGAGGTTTTCGTCCTCATAACCCAACCTACCACTTGGACAAAGCTGAGTCTCCGTCTCTCTCAATGAGGATTACGGATTGTCCGACGGTGACAATAGTCACTATGACTAGCCCCAAAAGACTAGCCAACAACGCCGCACTGAATCGCGTCCCCGCTATGGGGAGCGATACCCCGTCTGGTTTTGGTCCGTGCCAGATTAATACCGGTACCGCGCATATCTGCGCGGCATTCCCCTATCCGCCACCTGGGGACACGCCCGATAGGAGACCAGAAACTCCCTCGGGATGTATGTTTAACATAAAACCGTTTAACTTAAAAAGTTTTTTTACCTATTTTTTTAAACTAATATGGCCACGGATACTATCTTTAGGATTAAGCATTTTTTTATGGGATAAGCAGGTAAAAGAGCAGACCTATCACCTGATGGTAAGCAATCGGCGTCATCCGTAGACCCTCGAAGTAGCAGAGGTGTATTGAATGCGTTATCGGCCCTTTGGAGATTAGGATTTTAAAGATTGTTGAGGTTTCAGGGATTGGAAAGATTGGGAAAGTATTAATTGAGCTTCCGGTATCCTTACTCACACGACGAACCACAATGCAAGTGTTGTTTCACGTTGGATTTCTGTGAGGCCGTGGTATCACTGTGGTTGAGCCGGTCCATTGTGCCGAAGCATGGCTCTCCCGCACTTGCATGCGATAGGTATCACGGTCTGTACAGACAATTTAGCACCTTTTCAAGTGCCAACCAATAAATCACCATCATCAGCCCTACATCTATTACTGAACAAATAACTAGGAAGGTGTTTGTTTGGAGGACCAAAAAGAGGATTTGCCATAATGCCCAGGCTTGGACGCGGTTTCATTAAAGATTGTAATTAGATTAGAGTGGTTTGAAGATCCAAGGACTAAAACTCTGGAGCTTGCCATTGCCCGACATTTAGAATCTAGCTGCAATTTTAGGATATGCCTATCCGGATCCTAAACTAATAAATATTGTAATCTCAATCCTATTCTTAATTACAATGATATCATTGTAAGTTGCAGCGAGTTAGCTTACTGACTCCATCTGACTTTGTGCCGGGTACATGTTGGTAATAACTCTCAAAGAACAATAAAATATATTTTTACGAAGTAACCGGTTGTTATTGACGGGACGTTCCGTTTCTTACACGGCTCGTAAACGGTGCGCTTGACGGCAGTTCAAGGACGTTTGCCGCGACCGGCGACCGTGTCACGGTTTTAATTTAATGAGGCCACCAACCACGCAGGTCGTGTTATGATTCCAACGAAGCATTACTGCTTTTTTATTTTTAGCAAAGTTCTAAAAAAGCTGTGACAATATAAATATTTTATTTTGTTTTTCCACGGTTGCGATGTGTTTCTTATTACTTAGAGTTTGTATTGGTGTGTTTAGATGGCTAATTTGTTGGACAGTGGAAATGTGTTCAGTTTTCTGTAATTATATACTTATTAGTTTATTTTGTAATTATATACATATTTCAATTGCACTCCGCTTGGTGGAAATTCATTGCATAGGTAACGTAGTTGGCATACTATCATACAAGCTATTGTATACCTACATAGTCTTTTCAAGATTTTTTCTATTCAAAATTGTGGACAATGCCCTGCCGATGTCTTTGGTAATTATAAAACAATAGAGCTGATGTCACCCCACCTTTAAAGGTTAATGACTTTGCAATCAATAGTAGGCGCTGGAGAGTCTGCTGACAATAACACGATTGATTTTTTAATTTCACCTTAATGTCATAGAATACACCGTATAATTTATAATTTAAAGTTATATGTTATTGTACAATACATACTGGTTAAACTGTCAAACACCAAGCGGTCACCGGTGACCGCAACCTATTGTTCTATAATTGTGTCTGTAATGACGGTACTCGACGAGATGACTCGTCGATGTAGAAATTGATTCACAAATAAATGTTACAAGAGAATGAAGCGATTTCAGTTTCAATTTGCAGTTAGCATCACCTGTTGTTATCGAGTCGTCCACACTGTCCCATACTCTACCCACAGACACACAGTTCACCCACATATAGTAAATTACTTGTGACGTCAGCGCTTCCCATGAACCTCCCTCTATCACCATCACCCGAGTGCTGTAACGACCTGATTACAGCTAATTCGCAAGGGTTACCAAATACCAAGCTACCTGCCCACCTTACCAGACTGTTAAAAGTAACGAGGGGATCGGCAACAGCCATGGGAATGAGCCATTTTCCTTAAGGGGGCTGTTTAACAACGTAAAGACATATCACCAGTTTTTGTCCCACGCACTGTAGTTGTAAGCGGAACCATTACCGAGGACACTGCTCGTATACGTTGATGAGACGCGTAATCTTGGGGATATTTACCTTAATAACTTTAGTCATTAATTATGTGGAACAAATCGTTTCAGGACATTGAGATACATTGCTCTAAGACCCTTATCTAGAGTCAGTCGATGGAAATGAGAGAAAGTACAACCTTCATACAATCAGTCAGTGTATTATAATAGAATCTCGCAACCGATTGATTTGTGATACTCTCCTAAGTATTGGTCCACATAAATAAATAACTAGCCGAACCTCCACTACTCACCACTGGCAGTATAGCCGATAAAAAGTTTGTCCCAGAAGGCGCGTGTCGTATAAAATAAAATAATTCTCGATCGCCATACGGCCGCACTTACGTTAACATTGGGAACACCTGCCCCCCATTACTTATAGTACGGGTCGCCATCGGTTACGTCGTTTACTTGAATTTCTATTAGTAGACACTTACCTTGTGTTGTTCTCCTGTTATGTGCGCCTGGTACATGTTATTATACTGTTTTGTTTTTTTATACTTTTTTATTGGTTCGTGTTTCAGGAAACTGATTTGGATACTAATTAAGAATGAGTTTATAACAATAATTCCCTATAGCGTTATGACAAATAATCCTTACAGTATGAGTGTGTAGTAATGGTATATTATTCCACGAAGATATAAAATTGCAATAAGTCGTTGGTGGCGTCGTATAGACACCCTCGGCTCGTTGGACAAACAACATTAACTGGATACAATGTTGACACTGCACCCTTGTTATATCTGCGGGCTCATGTTGTGCCATGGGGTTATCGCACCTCCTACACTTACATGTGATCGTGGTAATAAGATACGTTCTAAAAGTGATATATCGACTTTATAAGTATGATACAGATACTTTAGGTTTACCTTTAAATATTTGTTCATCATCATCACCAAGACTTCGGCTGTTTGTCAAAGTTGACCGTCCCTCATAGTCACAATACAAAGGAGTATGTCTAATGCCTGGCAAGCTGCTTGCGGATAGCAGCGGTCTGAGAAAGTCTAGACTGTAGCTTTAGATAATGCAGTTGGCCGTCTCTTGATGGCTATAATTGTTTCGTCGTAAAGCGCTAACACTGTCACGGTAATATTATTCTATGAATCTGAATCATATAGCTATATTTAATACAATAAAACCAAACAATTAACTTTAACTAGAAGTAGTAAACCATTTTAATTCCTTGTGTCTTCTGTTGGAACAGTACTGCAAACAAAACTATTCAATTAGATTTAATACTTAGAGCTTACTGCACAAGCACAATTTCTGTCGGCAACGAACCACGCACAAACAAATTAATCCGGCAGTGGCCGGACAGAGGCCGGACACAGCCGGACGGCACGGCATTCCGGGCTCCCGGCCACCACGCGCTTTGAAGCAGTTGCTGCTAATTTGGTTCTAAGCCTTCATTTCAGTGTGAATGCAGAGCTTATGTAGCCGGACGGCGCACAATGGCGGACAGTTCACGCATTTCCTTGTGAGTGTCACGGCTTTGCCCAGCAATGACCGGCTTAATGTAACTGTGTGCTACACTGCGCCCTGTCAACGCCACCACTGCCTCATTACACTGCATTACCGCTATGTGGAACCAGACATCTGCTATTTTAAAATAAACAACATATTTACTTAATATCTATACCAATCAACTCGACGACTCCAGTGAAGGTAAGCAAACGGATGAAAGTTTATTTTTCTTAAAATATCGCTAATAAACTGAACTGAAATATAAACACAAACAAACTAACAAAATAATTCGACTGAATAAAAAACGAAACAGCAGGTAAACAGAAATTCTTCTTCAACATTTTTATTTTAGTTCTGTCTCGACGCTACAAATTCAGATCTCTCTTATCGTAGAAAAACGAAACAAGCGTAATTTACTCGCGAGAAGAACTTACACAAGTATAAGTTTTCTCAAATAGAGTCGCCCTCGTCCCGTGTCGGGCAAAATGAGGCGAGTAAATCTATCGGCGGCGCCCGGCCGGCCCGGCCCAGGCGCCTCGAGTCCGAGTAAACCGATTACTGGCTGCACCCGACACACCGGGAGCCCGGACTTACCAACTATACAAATGTTCACTTTTTACGATTTTACCAAACTATTGCACTGCTACTGTTACTTCTAGTATAGAGGTAGAACGTTTTACAGGAAATAAGAACTAGTCCAAAAGT